CAACCTGTACTTACATATGGGTCTGAAATCTGGAGATATGGTCAATATCAACATTTGGAAAGTGTACATACATCTTATTGTAAGCAATACCTCGGTGTAGGTATAAATGCTCCATTTTGTACAGTATTAGGGGATTGTGGGAGGCTACCCTTATTTTGTTACCATGTTAAAAGATGTATGAAATATTGGTTAAAAATTACTAGCATGGATGAAAACAGATTACCCCAAAAAGCTTACCGGATGCTATTTTCGCTGGACAAAAAAAGACAAAGGCCATGGGCCACAAAAATTTAAAAAATGCTATTTAAATATGGATTTGGTTATGTCTGGTTTAATCAAGGGGTGGGGGACTCTGATATGTTCTCGTACACATTTTGTGAACGGGTCAAAATATTGGAATTACAGATTGGTATATGTACGTCTGTTCTGGTGAAAAAAACGCAGTATTATAGGCGTAAAACAAATTTTGGGATTGAAAACTATGTGTCATTGCCACAATTAAAATTGCGCAGAGCAATAGCAAGATTAAGATGTGCGTGCCATCCCTTAGAAATAGAAAGAGGCAGACATAATAATATCCCTAGGGAGGGCCATATTTGTCATTTGTGCCTGCAAGAAATTGATGATGAATATCATTTTTTACTAAAATGCAATGCATGGGACACAATCAGAAAAAAGTATCTGTCAAATGAGTCACAACCCCCAAATTTGAATACTCTGGTATTAAGCTCCTCTAAAAGCCAAATCATTAACTCGTTAGCTCTATTTATTTATAAGTGTTTTTTAATCAAAGATCAAATGAGAATAACCTAATAAGATTGAATGTATATAAACATTAATTAATATCCCCATCACATTATATAGTACTTATATTATCCATTGACACTCTCTTCATCTATATTTTCATTATACAATTAATAAAGTATTATTATTATATTATATTTTATTTATTTTATTTCAAGTTATTATTCATTTGCTGGTAGTGTTTGCAATCGCGAAAGCCCGCAATTCGCGTGTAATAAAATAACACAAAATAAAATAAAGAATATGGAAAATAGATAAAAAAAACTAATAAAAAAATGCGC